TTTAATACTTCTGAGTGTCAGAAACGGATTAATTGTATTTACATTATTTCTTATGGGGAAAATTGATTCGCAAATCGTAAATTTCGTTTATAGTAACGGCTCCAGGAACGGATTAATTACGAAAAACGAGGGACCACTGTATTTCATTCCAGAAGTATGTTCAGGTGCCAGTACTGACCGAATTTGTTCCCATAAGGAATATTGTGAATTAGATTAGTCCATTTCAGACCCCCAAACATACACATACAAATGCACTTACATAAATACACTTACATAATTGGTCGCATTGGGAGCTGATCGTAAACTGGGGGTCCACTGTACTTACATCACTATAGAATTCCATATTTAGTACATTAATACCTTAGAGGGCACAGGGATGTGCAGTTACAGCTTAATATATGATACACTACAGTGGTGAGTCCTAACATATTGCATAGTTTTTAAAGAATGAAAAGTCACAGTAAAGTACCATAGCTGGATCAATTAAAAAAAGAATGCACTTAGGACAATGTTTTGGTCCATCCTAGACTGTTGTCAGGTCACAACTGGGGTGAGAAAAGTAGAGTAGACCTGAAGACAATACTGTAAGGAAGGAGCAGGGTAAAAAGGGGTGGTGGCAGTGGCATCATCGATAGTAGTAGTAATGGTGGTGCACATACTAGTACTAGTATTATTACTAGTACTAGTGCTGCTGCTACTACTACCACTACTACTACTACAAGTGCTAGTATTACTACTAGCATTAATGCTATACTACAGTCACTACTACTACTACATCATCTGTGTGGGTATACTATTACTACATCATCTGTGTGGGTATACTATTACATCATCATCTGTGTGGGTATACTGTTACCACTACTACATCATCTTTGTGGGTATACTACTACTACATCATGTGTGGGTATAATACTACTACATCATGTGTGGGTATAATACTACTACATCTGTGTGGGTATACTACTACTACATCATCTGTGTGGGTATACTATTACATCATCTGTGTGGGTATACTACTACTGCATCTATGTGGGTATACTATTACCACTACTACATCATGTGTGGGTATAATACTACATCTCTGTGGGTATACTACTACTCCATCATTTGTGTGGGTATACTATTACTGCATCATCTATATGGGTATACAATTACCACTACTACATCATCTGTGTGGGTATACTACTACTACATCATCTGTGTATAGGTATATGTAATGTGTGATATGTACTGTGCTGTATATTATGAAATAAAGTTTATTGATTGACCACTACTACCACCACCACCATCATCGTCATTGCCTTCATCATCCTCCCTTCATCTATCCCTTATAGTATTTGGGATGGGGGGGGGGGGAGGTGTTAATAGAAGATCACTGACTGAAAGAATGCAAATTACAGTTGACAGTGCAAATCAGTTTCAGTTAGGTAAACCACAGGTGTCTTTAGTAAAGGTGGAACAGTCAGAGAAGAGAGCAGGCAAAAGCAAGCATGTCTTAATACAGTATTAAATAGTCACATGGGAAATGCTCCACTCTAAAGAGACTGACTACAGGTGGAGATCTGTTCTTTTATTAAACCATAGTCTTTGATTGTGAAACTGTATCTTAAGATTTTAAGGAAGGATCATGAGGCTTGGGATTGTATTAGTTTAGACAGCCATAATCTTATTTATATTTTGTTAGTAACGTACACATTTGCTATAGTAGATTGTTTCAAGACAGACTCTATTGTGAGCGTATGGGAGTATTTCAAGTCAAGAGCTTTTAGGCAGGCTTAATTATGGGCTTTTGTGTTGGGAACCTATGCAAGATTATTCATAAAGTTTAATCCATGAAACTTAATACTTAATAGAGATGGTAAAGAGTGAAGTTCTTTATGCATCCCTTAATGCTGTGTTGTGTCTTAGGCCTTTTCAAAATAAAGGAAAATGGTGATGGACAGCTCAAGGTATAGCATCTTCTGAATAGATTGAATGCTTAAGCTACTACTACACACCTTTGGGGGGTATCTCAAACACCTAATATGATTTCAGCATTGTGGCCCCAGGAAACATCACAGATGAATATTATCTCTGTTGCCCTGACAGTGAGGGAACAGGAGTTGAACATGGCAGTGGACCTGAATCATCTTTTTTTTTTTTAAAGTCACAGAAAACCATATGTGGGCCAGGCAGATTTTGACAAATCTTGGCAATTCAAACAAGAGGCATGTTGTGAAGTAAATGGTTTAGAAAACTGACAAGTTGAAAAATGAGACACTTGTGCAACATTTGAGAATCTTCATTGAGAAATGTTTTGCCAGGCAGTGGCTTCTTCAGTCCAATACAGAGAGGAACGGTGGAAGATGAGGAGAATGAGGTATGTTGTAGCTCTGTGGATGACTGGGTTAGGCATTTGTGTGATTGATTTGGGTCTCAACCCTTAACCTTTTCAGGGTTTTGGCCGTACTAGCACGGCTTACGCAACAGGGTTTTTGACATACTAGTACGCCTAAATTCTAGCGCTCTCAAATCTAATGAGAGAAAGCTGGTAGGCCTACATATGAAAGAATGGGTCTATGTGGTCAGTGTGCGCGGTATAAAAAAATCCTGCGGCACAGTGCGTAATGAGAAAAAAAGAAAAACTTTGACCGTGTTTTTGGATTAAAACAGCGACTTTGCACTGTATTTTCATATGGTATTTATTGTTGTATTCTAGTTTTCCTGGTCTCATTTTATAGAATGGAAGACATATTACAGAAATTGAGATGATTTTGACTGGTTTTACAATGAAAAGTACCTTGAAATTGAGCTCAAAGTAGCAGAAATGTTCGATTTTTACCAAAGTTCAAAAGTAAACAAATCATGCTATGCGCCCAATACACGTCAGCTGGTGAGTCATAAGAACATAAGAAAGGAGGAACACTGCAGGAGGCCTGCTGGCCCATACTAGGCAGGTCCTTTACAATTCATCCCACTAACAAAACATTTGCCCAGCCCAATTTTCAATGCCACCCAAGAAATAAGCTCTGATGTGAAAGTCCCACTCAAATCCAACCCCTCCCACTCATGTACTTATCCAACCTAGATTTGAAACTACCCAAAGTCCCAGCCTCAATAACCCAACTAGGTAGACTGTTCCACTCATCAACTACCCTATTTCCAAACCAATACTTTCCTATGTCCTTTCTAAATCTAAACTTATCTAATTTAAATCCATTACTGCGGGTTCTCTCTTGGAGAGACATCCTCAAGACCTTATTAATATCCCCTTTATTAATACCTATCTTCCACTTATACACTTCGATCAGGTCTCCCCTCATTCTTCGTCTAACAAGTGAATGTAACTTAAGAGTCTTCAATCTTTCTTCATAAGGAAGATTTCTAATGCTATGTATTAATTTAGTCATCCTACGCTGAATGTTTTCTAACGAATTTATGTCCATAATATTCTAATATTCTTTCACAAGTGCGCTGATATTATTTATACCATTTCTACACTAATGCAGTAGTCTGCATAACAGTAAATCTTCTATTTTTTTGTGAGAATAAAAATTCAAAGTGGAAAGCAAAAGAATGTAAGAGGGGCATGGGGATGTGACTAATGAATAGAGGAAATGTTATTTTAGTGCCAGGAATGTCTTTCTTGTTTATTCTGGACCCTATTCGGAAATTGGCATCTTTTGAAATTTGTGTGAAATTGGCAAAATTGCTAAATTCTGACCACTGTATTGGATTGTTGAAATTGGTAAATGGGTGGTTTCTTGTACTCATTTGATAGAAAAAAAATGGAGTTCTAGCGAAATAGTTATGATTTTTGTCGACTAGTACACTGGAATTGGCCGAAAATAGGGCTCAAAGTGGGCAAAATCGCCGATGCGTAAACATCGTCGAGACTGCTAACTTTGTGAGAGTATAATTCCATAAGTTTTTCATCAAATTTCAAACTTTTGGTGTCATTACGATCGGGAAAAGATTCTCTATCTTTTCATAAGAAAAAATAATTTTTTTTTTTTTTGAAATTTGGGCGACCCTGAGAACAAGTCTCTGAGAGGGCCTGTCGACCCTGAAAGGGTTAAAAACCACCTGATTCAAATGGGGATGACAAGGTTGCTTATGTACATCTGACTCTTGGATGTTTAAGGGTTCCTCTCTGGCATTGCTCTTGTGGTATTCCTCTTTTGTATTTTCTTGCCATCTTAGGCTCTAATATTATGGGTTTCAGGTAAGTTCTTGGTAACATTTCTCAGTCAAGAAAAAAGTTAAATTACATTATTCCCTTTGAGGGGATAACGTAATGTCCTGATGATGGAAGCTGTCAGGGGATATGTCCCTCCTTGATGGGATAACAGGCATTTCTAAGTAGGTGAAGGTTTATCTGTGCATTGGTTGTTCACATTATGATTTAGTTTTATCAGATTATTCCTGCAATTAATTTGGTGGCTATTTGAGGGCTCAGGTCAAAATTTTGGTTTCCTAGGCAGACATATTATGTAGTTTTGCATCATTGGTATTGAGTGTTGGTGGTGCCTACTGTATACTGATGCAAGATAGCAGGTTCCTATATCTGCTTATGAAATTTCATTGCTGGAAGATACCTTGTTGATACTGCAGGGCTACCCTGGGTTCTTATGCTGGCATTCCTGTTATCCTGTGCCTTGCAGGCATTATTGTATCTGGCAAACTCTGGTATGTTTTCAACCTATTCACCGTACCAATGAACATGAGTGTAAGAGTACTCTGCATTACTAGCCAGGAATTATTAAAATGAGAAGATTATATACATATATATTGTACCTACCTATTTTTCCAAGGAAGGATCGCCTAGACAATCTCTTCTGCTCCCAGCCTACAGGCACTCTCGGATCAAAACTGTCATGCGCGACTGCTTGCCCTGCTGCTCTAGATGATAATCACAAAAGTATTCCTTAACCTTATCAGAATTATTGGCTGTCTATTGCTTTTAGGGATAAAGATAACTAGCAATACTGTTTGAGTATTGTACTTGATTTTACTTTCAGGGAGGCTACCCAGACAGTCGGGTGAATGGATTAAACAATCCACGGTGCAATGGATATATCAGAAGCCGAGATCAACTACAACCAGATCTCCGTGCTGAAGCTCAGGTATGAATTAGAGCAGTTATTTATAATTTTCTCATGGTACCTTCAGTATTCCAGCTATAGTGTTCTTCCTGCACTTACTTTCTTCAGTTTGAAATCAGTTGTGATTTCGTCAACATGTTGATAGTACCAAGAAATCTTCCTTATCTATTTTCCTATATCTTTTTATAATCTCATATGTGGGTATCATATCGCTGCTTCCTTCTGTTCATGCAAGACATATGCAGGGGCTTTTAATCTTACTTTATAATTCATACTTCTCATAATTCATACTACTCATTTTGTAGCTGTTTTTAAGCATGAAACTTTAGCTCCTAAGTTTATGTATGGCATTTTTCTTTATATCTCTTTGGTTCATTTTTTATTTGTGCCCCCTGGTCCTGGTCTTAACCCTATTTTTTTTTTTTTTTAGCAAGTCTGATTTTAACTACATTGTCAATTTCTCTTGAATATCACATGTTGCCACCTAGTATTCATTTCTTCAGTGTCGTAAGATTTACCACTTTCAACCTGTCCTCATAGCTCAGGTCTATTTTATCTTGTGAGCTAGTCTTTGGCACATCTCTGGAATTTTCCCAGGCTTTATTATGCATTTGACCTGCAAGTTGCAACTAGTGCTGCATATCCCAGTACAGGTAGATTTCTTTCATTTTATGCAGGTTTTACCTCTATTATGCAGGATTCTCTCATTTTATGCAGGTTTACTTTATGCAAATTCATCTTCATGAAACATCCAGTTTCTATTCATAACTCCATATGTATAATGTACCTTGACCGTATGCAATTAGTGAAGTTCACAAGATATATTGAAGACTCTTTTAATGCACAATTAAATGTTGATGGCCTGATTGAGCTTAGTGCAGCTGCCATGGGCCTAGAATGCATTTACTGCATAAAGCAAGAGACACCTGGCCTGATACTGTGCAAGTTATTCTAAAAAAAAAAAAAATCCTTGTTGTGATTCCTGGTGGTTCATCACTAGTGTCATCTTGTTTATGAGAGCTCATAGATTTGCTGTTGTATCCACCAATAGGTTCTCTTCTTTGTCACCTGTAGCAGCCTTCCTCTCAGTTGGTGTTGTACTATGGGTGTCCATTCTCTTTTTCCTGTCTTGGTCACAATGCAGTTTCACTGAATTAGCAATTAAAGTATTTGAACATTTTTTGTAGCTTACCCATACCTTTCTACAGCTTATTTTGCAGTCCACTTCCCATGTGGGTTCTTTTCATGTAGGAATCCATATGAAAAAAATCCATCTCTCCAGGCATATCCTTGAAATGAATTTAAAACATTATGAACCAAAGAACTCATTTGTAAGGATCAATGTGTCACACCTCAGCCTAACATCTCTCACTATGACTCCTTTCTGTTTGGAATTTTTTTTTTATGGAGGGCAGTATCCTCCCTGTTATGCCAGTTTGCTGTTTAGTTTTGTAAATTCATCACTTGTAAGACACTATATTAGATCCTTCTGACAATCCAGGAATACTCATTCTACTTACCCTTTCCTTTCCTGCCTTACTTTCTTCATCCTGAAATAGAATTATTAGGTCTGTGAGGCAAGATTTCTCTTTTCTGAACCAGTGTTCTTGGTCTGTTATGATGCCTATGCTTCTCTAGGTGGTCTAGCATTTTTTTCCTTCTAATATTCTCCATTATTTTACATGGTATACAGTCAGATCTCTAAATTAGGAAGAAGAAAGGAGGTAGGTATATTCCTTAGAGGTCCCCACAAATCCAGTCTATCTTCCACTAAATTGTTGCTATGATAGATTGTTCAGATTTTGTTTTTTTAAGGGGACAGATCTTCTTACTCATTGCTCTGTCATCATTTATATTGACATTCAAAATAGTGTCAGGAAAGAAGAATTTGGGCATGGGAAATCCAGTGAGCACATTCAAAATTTTAAACAAAATTCTGTCTGTTTTCAGTATTGGGATTGTGTACCAAGCCAAAACAAAATGAATAACACAAAATATTTGAATAAATCTAAATTATTTACCAGTTATTCTTTAGTCAAAATGTTGAAGAATTAAATTCTGAAAATTTGGGAGTCTGAAAGTACATTCCATGGATACTAGGACTGTAGTTCACAGCTTCCATCTCCTATCTCAAATGTGATACAGTAGTGGTTTGCTTAGGGCATTAACCCCGAGCAGAAGGCACATGCAAAGATGAAGTGAACGAGGATTTCTAGAGGACATTCCCTTGTTGAACACCTCTAGTGATACAACTTGACAAGTTGTGCTCTGCTTGCTCATTTCATATATAGGACTACAGTAACTGTTGGGACCTCTGCCACCCATTTAAAGGATCTGTGGGTTTACACTGGGTATAATCCATTCACAACAGTAGTGACTACTGACTTGTCCATGTTGGTCTCCTGTATATATGGTTGGGCATTTGTCACCTATCTCGCCACTGTGAGGAAGAAGGTGATAACTTGCAGGCTAGACAGTAGAGAGAAACTAATTTCAAGGAAACTAGTCTGTCCTCAGTTTTAATTTTATGTCTCTACATATGCTTCATGAATTACAATATACTCCTTCCAAGGGAAGAGTATATTTTATTTCATGCTGGTCATCACAGTATAGTACCTCTGTGCTCTTTTCAATAGGTTGTTGCCATCTGTGTGTGCATATATATGAAAAATCTCTCTCACAGGATTGGGTCTTATATCACTGCTCTTGATGGTAATCCATGAACTCCCAGACTACTTCATCCTCCTGGGTGCTATCAGTGCCCACCACCCTTTGTGGGAGAAGAATTGCTATGTATTAAACAGGAGTGTTCTTTTAAGAGCCCTTTCTGAAAATTAGCATCTTTAGTGATGGGTCTCCAACCTATTATAATGTTTATACAGCACCTTAAGAGACAGACTTTCTCTTTAAGTCCCATTTCTATGTACAGTATTATGGGGTATCTATTTTTTATCTAAAGTGAATAAATTATTAGTTTACTTTTCTATTCTCTCTATATTCTATATGCAACAGAAACACTTGTCTTGTTTCTTGATAAACCTTACTTAACCTGGTGCATGAAGATGGTCCAGAAATGTTTAGCCTTTCAGTTACAAACAAGGTTTGGCAAGTTTCCCTGTAGAAAAAAAAAAAAAACAAGCATAGTGAGCAACATTGGAGCCAAGCAAAGGAGGTAAACAGTGAGAAGTGACAGAGGAAGACAGATTATATGCTTGACTTGCATTTTCAAGTTATTTAGCCATGTTTTAGTAGTACAGTGGACCCCCGCTTTACAATCAGCTCCCAATGCGGCCAATTATGTAAATGTATTTATGTAGGTGCGTTTGTACGTGTATGTTTGGGGGTCTGAAATGGACTAATCTAATTCACAATATTCCTTATGGGACCAAATTCGTTCAGTAATGGCACCTGAACATGCTTCTGGAATGAAATAATATCGTAAGCCAGGGGTCCACTGTATGTCTTATTATTTGTTATATTTACCTAATATTTAATAAAAGTAATATATTAAGTACCCTGTACTATAATATAGTACTGGTTATTTAAATGATTAAAAGGGCTATACACATGCACAAATGAGTGGTACCAGCTGAGTAATGCAAACATTCAGGACTCTGGGAGAGAAATGAGAACACCAGCTAGACTATATAATTTCATCTCTTGGTCTAGATGTGGTACAGTATAGAATGTTCAAAAAGTTTTTTGCCAGTCAGAATAAAAGCATGAGTTCCATGCTCAAGAAGCACCTGTTATCACAGCCTATGCAGTTGAAGGGTTACCTTTAGTGTTTAGAAACCAATTGGGGGAGTTCTGATTTGTATCATTATTTATTATTCAGAACTTTATTGTATACTGGAAAAATGCTTACTATTTTAAATTAACAGATTTTTATGGTGTAAATGGTTCCTTCTTAGAGCATAGCAAATTTGTCAAATTTATGAAATATTTAAAGCTCACTCATTAAAAATGAAAATATTGTAAAGTATATTTTGTTTTAGGGCAGATTTAAAATTTTACCATCATGCTATAAGTAAAATTCGGGCCACTCTGCCTTGGTGGGAATCGGCCAATGTGTTAATAATAAAAAAATAATGTGCAATTAAAATTACTGTACATTTGCTAATGCTGCAGGTTATTTATTGTTAACTTTGTTCTCAGAGTGGGTCAGAAGAAGAAATTGAACGACTTGTAATTGGTGCTAGCAGCAGCAGTGGTTCCATGAGCAAGAGTATTGTTACCCAGGACCATCACCAAGAATCAGGAAATCCAATAGAAGTGGAAAATCAATCTACCCATTCCCTTGCAGGCACACCACCCCCATCCCCAGTACACCAACACAATCATAGTGGAACCTCTCAGGAAGGCATCACCAACCTTACCAGCCTCACAACTCTGAGCACCACTGACAGTGATGGAGGAGGTGAGCAGGACAGAACAATGGCAGGAGATGCAGGGCATCATCATATAAACACCTCACACCAGCATAACCACCACCATCACAGTAAAGGTGCAACAAGAGCATCATCCCCGCGACCCCCACTGACGACGGTGCAGTAGCTGCAATGGTTACCGGGCTTTATTCCCAGGTACCTTCCCTCGCAGGCCCCTATCACCGAGACACTCCTCTGGTCTGATGCGGGTATTCATACGTATACAAGGCCTGGCCCAGCTGCTGCGGTGGTATGTGGCATCTGTGCCCATCCAGCCCACTGGACTTGATGCGTGTGCCTTGACCCAAGTGTACAAATGTTGTCAGTGTGGGTACTCGAGACCATCAAATGAGCGGGGCTGGGTCAGGCACCCCACTGTAGCCACTAACAGCTAGTCGTTGTTTGGTGTTTACATTATAAGCATTGTGGATATGGCTCTCAGTCACACAGTTTTGGCTCAGTGTTCCCTGACAAATAAGTCACGGTACAGTATACTCACCGAGGCTGATTAAAAGGAGTACAAAATGAACATATTTCCTGTCATTTTTATCTGTAAATGTGACTTGAGAGCTGTGTCCAGGGTGCTCCCTCATTTCTCTGACAGCAAGGTATCAGGGATTATCCTGGCAAATAACGGCATGCCTGCCCCTCCAACCACCCCTCATCACCACAACCACCACTACAGCCCCAAAGATCCTTCTCACGTCTTCACAACCTCAGTGTTTCGCCATATTTGTATCAGGGATGGTAATCTCTTCTCACCTCTTTTGATAAGACTGTAATACAACCTTGATTCTGATATATTTAATTTGTCTGCTGTTTTATATAACATACAGTAGTACAAGAGTAATGGGTTATTAATACTTTATGTATAAATCAATTTTAGGCAGCAGTCATATTATATAATGTTTCTGTGTTTTTTTACTGTTGAATCATTACAGTCTGAAATCAGGGAGATTCATACCAAGAGCATCTACAAAGTGCAGGAAGAACACATGCAGCGCATACATCATTGCAGTAGCTACCTGAGCAACTTTACAGGTTATTTAGTCCTCTCATAGTGGGTGAAGGATCTGACTTACATTGTTCTGCAAACTTAACTGAAAACTATGTGTAGCTTACAACATACTCAGATGTAGAATGTTTCTCTAATGATACAATAATTCTCAGAGTACTGTACTCAGTTAATAAATTACTGTGATATATTTAATAAATATGTGGAAGTTAATTCCAATTTCTTACAAAAAAATGAAGCTCTAAAAATTGCATTAACCAAAGTTCATTCAGTGTTCCCTTAGTAATATTCAGAGACCCATATGCTCGATATACACTTTAATGAAACATCAATAATAACACTGACAGATATTTTTTAAATACATATTTATTACTTAAAATGCCTTTACTCATTATATATTAAGTAAACATTTTAGTAAGTAATGGGATTATCCATATATTTAGTGATTGTAAATTCAGTGAGAGACTGGCACAATCTATTTGATCCTTCACCCACATTTCACATTGCATTCCATACAGACTTCTGATTAGTGGTGCTGTGGTACTTTTCGAAATTGCCGCCAATTAGTAATTACAAATGTATAGGAGAAGGTTGGTAATAGGCACTAGCAGATGGTGAATAAATGCGTTGCCTACTCCTACATGTGATGTGGCAGTTGTTGCAGTTCAGTGTTTGGGCACTAGGGATGAATTGAAATAATGAGGAGCATCATCTGTCCTTGTTTTATGTTAAATCATTGCTAATGCTGACTACCAATTATGTTTTTGACTAACTGGCAGCAATTTTGAGTAGTACATGTGTCATCCGCCTCTCAGTGAAGAGCCCGGGCTAACCTCTCCTCCCAGTGCATTGCCACTAGTCCACTCATGGCCATCTGTTTAAGCCCTGATTATCTGCTCTAATATTACTACTACAAAAGTGATAACACAACCATTTAAAAGCTCAGGCTGTTTTCAGACAAAACATTTACTTTCAACTTGTGAGTAGAATAAAAATAACTTGTTTGTGCTATTTACCACTGAAAGTTATCATACTTTTTGAACAGCCTTCAGAACTAATTTGCCTTATGAAATTGTTCAAACGTTCAGGGCAAAAAAGGTGTATGTTTGCTAGGGTAGGTCCTGGTATCGGTGTGGCACCAATGGTGAATGCTGGAGCCTTCCTGCAGAGTCAGGGTGGGGGTTCAGCCTGGTCGCTCTCCTGCGTGCGTGACGTAGCTGACTGTCTGAGATGGGAGTTTCATACACAAGACTTATTTTAATATTTAGTACAAATCATATTCCATTTACTAACTATATACACTGGTTAACTCAATCCCTAGTAGGACTACTGAAACAATCTCAGTGCTTTTCTCAATCTGCAGTTGTACAGATTGTAATAAGTCAACCATGCAACACTCTGTGCAGTCAGACCACTGCTCTCACTTACATTAAAAACCATCATGGCTTTGTATCAAAGCCTAGGACTAGGACTTGGATGTGGTTAATGAGTGGCTTTGATGAGCAGAAGATTGGCTATGCAGAGTGATGCAAACCCCCTTCCTCCCAAGTAAGAAACATAGCTCAGGCTTTTACCTCAGTTACTGTGTGGAGCTCCAGTTAATGACAGCGTGCGGAGATACCCAATATACGTATTTGTTGCCCACTGATGAATATTGTCTTTATTATTATGAACTTATGTTTATCTCGCTGCTAAGTTAGTTTTGTTAGCAGAAAGGGTGCCAACATTAGCGGCTCAGGTGAGGGATACTTTGCACTCTACTTCCAGCCACCCAGAAAATGATGGCCCACAACTGCTCACAGTACACAACTATGCTAAAAAAAAGTATGATTCAGAAGTTTTATTATATATGTATATATACCTCACCTTATCAAAATGTCTGATGTACATATGACTTTTTGCCAGAAATTTATATGTATGAGTTTAATGATTGTTCAGTATAGAATTATAATAGTGATTGAGTGGACCAGGGTGCAGCTGGATGGACTGTGCAGAGGAAGAGCCCTGCTTCATGCACATGTTTTCTACCTCATAGAGGGCGCAGGTCAGGCGGGGCAGGGACCTGCTCTTTACTCTCCAATGTTGAGAAGTCAAGTGGGCAGGCTCTTTGGGTTTGTTTCTCAGGGAGCTCAATGTACAAACACTACACTCCACAGTGTCTGCCCACTTGGCTCCTTATCCCAACCCTATACCTTCCCCTCTCCATCCCATTTTCCTTCCCTTTTCCTTTCTTCTTACCCAAGCCAAGCCTAACTTCCCTATCCCTTTCCCACCAATCATTGTACACAAACCCTACATGCCATAGTCTCAAAGCAGTTCCTGTCACTACCTGCAGACAGCGCACGTACATCCCACCCAGCTACCATGAATAAAATAATTTCTGTTATATCTCTCTGTCTCTGCTCTTTGTATTTTTGTATGCAAGCCCCTCATAGAATTCCTTTGTAAATGATAGATATGAATTATGTTATTGTTTCCATATTCTTTGTGTATCCATGAATTTTTATTTTCCTAATATCATGCTACCTCGTTCTTTTGTACGATGAGTGAACATTTAGCATCGCATCTCCCGTGCTGCATGTGTATGACAGCTCAAGTAATAGATGAAACTGCTCCTCTGCCACTCCCTCGTCCTCAGCCAAGAGCGCATTAACACAGCTACTTCATGATAACCAGTCATTATTTTCTCAGTAGGATGTATCTTGTATATCATGTTTTATTATGATCCCATTGCAACTGGTAGGCATTGCAGGCTGCCCTTTGCAGCCTCCGTTTCCCTCTGTAAAAGTATGCCACAGGTCATTCTAAGAAAAAAAATTAGTAGTTGTTTAACAGCTAGGGCAGCCTCCCATGCCTTAAATAGGGTAGTGTAACATAATTGGGGATTTTCAACAAGACTCATATTCTTTTAAAATGGAATGTAAGCCTTATTAAGAATTCAAAATATTTGTGAATTACTTTAGCCAGTTAGGGTTGGATCCCTTATCCTACATGCCCCTTCATTTATTGTAGCTTTTAAGGTATCGTACAAGTTAACATGTACACAGGGTTGGAATACATTTTGTACAATAATTTAATGTATTGAGAAATGTCTTGTGCTCATTTCTATTTGTAAATATTGTAGTGACACTACATTGGCTTAGGTAGAAGTGAGCTAAAATTAAGCCTGTTATTTGCATACTACTGGTTGATTACAGTATGGCTAAAGCACAACAAGGTGATAGTTTCCAGTACCATCTTGGTAAGGGAGAAGCCCACAGGAAATGTGCAGTGCTCGCCTTTAAGGAATTGAAGATGTTTCAATGTGATTCACTTTCTATAATGAAAATGTATCATATTGAAATTTGATGAGCAAGTTGCACATGTCAGGTTAAAATGATTAAATCAGCCTCTGAACCAGCAGACCCGGCAACTAAACACAGCTGAAAAACAAACCTGGAACAATACTCCTTTACCTAAGGTATCTCTCATAAGAGATGCTTTCTGCCAACGTCAATTTAATTATCACAATGTACAAATCTATTTGGAGGTGCTACAGTCAAGTGCTCAGTAGGTAGGCCAATTTCAGGTAGCCTAGTCTGTCCTCCACCTGGTCCTCCTCCATTGGTTATTTGGTCTACTCTTTATTGACTTGGTTTCCACATGGTTATTAATGAAAGAAAATTTTTGGCCCAGTGTTGGATATGTGGTCTGCTATTTAGTCAGATGGTCCTCCCTGTCATCTTTTGGGTCTCCACTTAGTTATGTGGTCCTCTATGTAATTACTTGGTCCCAATGTAGTAATTTGTTTCATGTAGACAATGGTTGAAGTGAATTTTAGGTCCTCTCATGTGGTCACTTGGCTTTCTAATTGACAGTTTTGCTAGATAGCTGAATCCTTGGACCTTCACTTTGCCATCAGGTCTTTTATAAGATCACTTATTTTGTAACTATTGGACCTCCACCTGGCCCTTGGGTCCAAGTATTTTATTTTATCATTATTATTATTATTATTATCATCAGGACATAGTTGGCTGTAGGATATATGTTAAGCCAAGTTTGCCATGGCCATAATTTAAATGTGGCATGTTATGATTAATGATCATATATTTGTTTTTAATGCAGTGAAAACCATTATGTCCCATTATTTTCCCTATTTTATTTTAGGTATAAAAAGCTAATATTTAAAGAATTTAAAATCTTGTATTGCCCAACACAACTTGGCCATTCTGTCCATCGACATATGAAATGAGCACACTGGGAAAAATAAGCTATTGTAACTTTTGTGTGGTATAGTAGCTTATGTATGTAAGCTATCCTGTGGTGTGAGAATCTATGAGCCTCATATGCAAGCTATTCAACGTGTTGTAATGGACAAAGATGGTCTTGAAACTCGTTATTAGCCCTTTATATCATTGCCGATGCTAAGCATAAGTAAAATAGTTCAGTTATTACAGAGAGCTTACCATGTTTCTTCTTCAAAACTGGAAGAATTGATATTTTATAAAATCTTTTTAATAGCTGAAACTACACTTACATATGCCAGGCCCAATCCTGAAACTTAGATTCAAACACCAAAGGTAAATATTTTAAGAGATCTGATGTTGTGTGTATGGCACTTACATGTTTTTGACAAGATCGGTGATGACAAGCTTTGTAATACACTCATTTAGGCAGTGAAGCCTTAATTAGAGATTATTAACTGATTAGACTATGACTAAAAAGCTAGAAATCTGTGATCTTGTGATAAACTTGTCAGTCTGAAACTATTGTATAATATTTATCCGCATAGCTCAGGTTGTCAGTGTTGTGGTTTTTCATCAAGTTTTGCCAAATGGTACCAACAATCACTACTTTAAATAAGGAATATGAGAGATTTCATCAAGAACAACAACTGACTAGGATTTTAATTGCTCATGTAGAAAAGCTCGTCAGTAGTGACTAGGGTAATGAAAGACGGGTGGGGCAGGACAACGTGCTAGTCACCAAACTCGTGTAAGTCGGAAGTTTGAGTCTCCAGATGTCAAGGCAAGTGGAATGAACCTAATTAAGTTTGTCCGTTGGCACTTCCTGTCCCTACAAAGTTCAGTTTACCATTTTGGGGGAGGGGGAGGGAGGGGATTATATGATAAGGCTTGTATCTCAGTTGCTGACCTACATGATGAGCCTAATTTGACTTCCACAAAACTGTTGAATAACCTTAGATTTAACAGACCAGTTTTCCATAGAAAGCAGGGGACAAATTGCAGCAGATAATTTTAATTGTATACCTTACCCTACCTCGTAGGTGATGTCTTGACATGCGACCTCAGTAAACACAACAGTTTTTGTAATTTATTAACTTTATTTGTCATTTGTGTGAGTTTTGGTATGAAAATTACTATATGTAGTGATGGCAATAATGAAAGGTATAATGGTGAATGAAGCAGCATTTGTAGCCGCGGATATTTTATTAATGTATCCCATGTGCATGCAAGCATGATTAAAGGTCTTAAGCTGATCACCCCTGTATGATTGTTACTGACTTTGCTGGTGAGGACATCACTATTTGATATTTTTTTTTTCATAGCTATACAAGTCAAATAAATTAGTCTTTTAGTAAAATTGGAGTACACTAGATACAAGGCAGTGTTGGAGTAACAATGGCGTTCATTAGCACCTTCCAACACCACCTCAGCATCTAACTTCATTATAGAGTACATATATCAGGTTATTTTTGTACCAGAAAACTATGGCCTCCTCACTCATTCTATTTTGATTTGCTTTTTTTTTTTTTTTTTTTTTTTTTTTTTCATTATTACCGAGTGTTTGAAATTTTTTAGTAGAACACTTTCAATAGTTCCTGCCCCTCCTTTGAATGTGTAGTGAGGCGCAGCAAAGCAGTACCTGCAACCAAACAGGTATATATATATACATATATAAATATATTTATTTATATATATATACCTACAAACCAGTGAAACTCCATTCCGGTGATACTTTATTTGTTCCTAATGATGGTCGTCCCAGTAAATGCTCATTCTTGGAAAGTGTGAGGAGGCTGAGGCATCTTGCACATGGAGATACAGCTAAACTACGTTAGTCCCAAATTTATCACTGGTCACCTGTGTTATAACCAACAAATTCTGTTAACACAGGCAGTCAGATGGTCAGAATAGGTGATATGAATGTTGGGACTAACGAGTTTAGACTGTTAAAAAAAAAATACAAGTCCTTGGTTATGATGCAGACCTTGGCTATGGCTTCCAGGCAACAACAGCAATGGTGACTCCTTAGTACGTGGCCTCAGTATAGCATCGTTTCCATCAGAACACAAATTTGTACTGTGTTATATAATGAATCATTGCATAGACCTCTTTCAGACTGTTCCCAAAAAAGATGATGAAAATAAAATACTATTACATACAAAAAAGTGATTTGTTATCCTAAAAAATTAATATTGGGTATGGAGTATGGCAAGTGGAAAGTAGCAAAAAGGCACAATACCGTGATACCCCGAGCTCCCAACTCAAACAATTATGTACTTAAGTGTATTATTTTAGGTGCATTTTTGGGGGTCTGAAATGGACTAATCTAAACTTGGGGTACCACTGTACACAACCCACACATAGGAGAGGAGCTTACGACAATGTTTTGGTCCAACTTGGACCATTTCCCGTCTTGGTTATCCTTCCCATTTCCTAGACTGCCTTCTCACATTCTAAAAGGACTTCCTTCTCTCCCAAGCACTCTACTCCTGTCCTCCCTATATTTCTAGTCTCTAATCCCAACAACTCTCTCTGTTCCTTAGACATCAAACTTACTTTTCACCAGACTAACACTCTTCACACCAATCTAGTTCATACCTCTCCTCCCTCTATAGTCTCTCTGTGTCTACTCTATTTCTTGTTCCTCTTCAGTACTTTGGAGAAACTGGCCATTCTCTTTCTGACAGATTCAGGGAGCACAAAAGTAGTGTTAGGCTTGCTGACACCAACAATGCTCTTTTCTGTCATATCAGAGATCACAGTCATCTCACTGACTGGTCTTCTGCTAAAACTGTCTACCCTAGTCTAACTTTCACAGTCGCTGTCTGGTTGAATCCTCCCTTACACGTCCACAACTTTCCTTGTATGAATCTTAGTCCTGGCTTTGTCTCTGTAGATGCCTTCCTTTCCCATTATTATCAAAAGTGCTAAACCACAAGGGCTTCCTTTCCCATTACATTGTAAAATGCTCCAAACTTCAAAACACCCATGACTGGTGTGATTCTTTTTTCCCCCTTCTCCTTTGGGTTTTCTTTCTTCTGTCTTGGGTATTTGGTACATTGTTGTTTTTCCCCTTGTGTGTTCTTGTTCCTACCCTTTGTGGGCCCCTAGCTCCCTTGCAGTGTTCCTCTTTATTAGTCTTTGACTGACTCCACTTCTACTACCTCTATCACTACGTCACTTCTTCCTTTCATACTACCTTTCTTGTCCCGTCCCTGTCTGCTGACCTATATATACTCCCTCTTCTCTCCTTTTTGTTAGTGTGACTTTGTATATGGTTCAAGTCGGACCAAAATGTTGTCGTAAGCTCTTCTACCCTATGTGCAGGTTATTTGTGTAAGTGGAAAGTGTTTAATGACAAATACACTGTACATACATACCGTATATACAGTATTATAATCAAGGGGAAGTGCTAAACCCGTAGGATTATGCAGCGCCTGTGGGAGGTGGATGTGGAAGGTATTCAGGCAACTGGAGCACAGATCCAATTCCCTAGATTAAGAGCCCCTTACCAATGTCAAGGAACCTTCCTAGAGGGGTGTATATACAGTAGATAATACAGTGGACCCTCGGTCATCGGCCATAATCCGTTCCAGAAGGTCGGCCTAAAACTGAAATATTTCCAATAAGTATTAATGTAAATACAATTAATCCATTCCAGACACCCAAAAATATTAACAAAAATAATTTTTGTAAAGATAAATTAGTTTTACATACACAAAACAATGAGAACTAAACAAAATAAATACATGAACAATTAAGTCACTATTACATACCTTTATTGAAGACTCTTGTTGGCTTATGGAAAATAGGGAGGAGAGAGGGAGTTGGGGTTATTTGTTTTGATGGGGAATCCCCCTCCATAATGACTTCAGGTTACAAGTCCCTCTCTGGGTTTGCTTCCCTTCTTTGTCTTTTAATGCCACTAGGATCAGCCTGAGAGTCACTGGATCCCTGTCGCCCAAAAATACGTCCAGAGGTCTGTTTCTGGTGTCTCTAAGATTTCCCTGAAGTGGGACAAGGTTTTGTCACTGAACATGTGGCAGATATGGCTTGTTTCAGCTTGGTCAGGGTGATATTTCTCCACAAAAGCTTGCACCCTCCTCCACATTGCACAAATCTCCTTAATCTCTGAAGAAGGCACCTCCTTCCCTCAGTCTTACTCCTCCTCTGAAGCAAGTTCCAGATGAAGTTCTTGCAGCTCTTCAGTGGTTAGCTCTTCACACCTCCAATCCCATGGACTTCCCCAAAGACACAATAGATTCCACAACAGGCGTCGGGTCCTCAGGGTCAGCCCCAAACCCTTCAAAATCCCTCTTGTGGACATAATCTGGCTACAATTTTCTCGAGCAGAGTTCAAAGTCCTGGAAGTCACTCCCTCCCAAGCCTTACTTACCTATAAGGCTCATGCAATGGAGGATACTGATTCCTCCAGAGCTCTTAGGGTCAATTCAGTGTCCGAGGTCACTTCAAAGCACCTTTGAAACTGCTTTGGTGTAGGGTTTTTTTGAAGTTAGAAATGACCTGCTGGTGCATGGGCTGGATGAGAGGAGTGGTGTGAGGAAGCAAAAACTTCACTGTTATAAAACGGAAGTCCCTAAACAATTGGCCTTCCAAGTCTGGAGGATGAGCAGGAGCACTGTTCAGTACCATGAGGCACTTAAGTGCCATGTTCCAAAAGGCATTTTTTCATACTGGGGCCAAAGACATCACTGACCCACTCTTTGAAAATGTGCCTTGTGACCCATGCTTTATTATTAGCTTTCCACAATCTATTCTTGACAACATTGTTTTTCTTGAAAACACTGGGATTTTCAGTGATACACTAGTAAAGACTTCACTTTGAAATCCCCATTAGCATTAGCACAGAACAAAAGAGTAAGCCTGACTTTCATAGGCTTGTGTCCTTCAGTGCCTTTTCCTCCCACGTAATGTAGGTCCTCTTTGGCATTTTCTTCCAAAAGAGGCCTGTTTTGTCACAGCTGAACACTTGTTGGGGGAGGAATCCTTCAGTCTCTACTTACCCCTTGAATTCCTGCACAAATTTTTCAGAACTTGCAACCTCCCCATGCCTTACCATACTGTGTATGCCACTACGTTTCTTAAATCTCTCAAACCAGCCTTTGCTGGCCCTAAATTCTGTAACAGCAGCACTTGTTCCAGGCATTTTCTTTACAAGATCCGCATGCAACTGCCTTGCCTTTTCACAAATAATCGACTCCACAACACTATCTCCCACTAATAGTTTTTTGGTGATCCACGACAACAGTTTCTCCATATCTTCCATTATTGGTGACCTTTGTTTCGTTAGCACATTTACTCCTTTCGCAACATTAGCTTCCTTGACTTCTACTTTCTTTGCCAGGATGGAAATGACTGTTGATTTGTTTTTCCCATACATCCTGGCAAGTTCTGGCACTCAAACACCACTCTCACACTTTTCAACAATTTCTTTCTTAAATTCCATCATGTTTCTCACTTTCTTTACCAGAGGAACTTTACTAGGAACTTTCTTTGGCGCAATGGTTACTTATTTCACAGTTGCACTTAATCAATAACCATGTTTAGATGAATGAGCAGAAGCTTCCTCACTCACCCAGAGACAAAGCCAGACTGACACGTGAGCGGATGGTGGCGGCGGATTGACGGCTGATAAGCGGAACGGCTGATAACCGAGGGTCCACTGTACAACTTATGGTGTTAATGCGTTCCTAACGATAGTTCGCAAGTCGATGACTTGGAACCCATTTTCAAACAGACACCCAAGTTAACACTACAGATACATTCCCAAGCCATGTTATCTCATATCTAATTTCATTATTGCTTTAAACTTAAGACATTTAACCAATATTTTAGATTCAGTAATGTTTCTTTTAACTTGAAAACAGTATTTAACATCATTCAATAAATGTGTATGTGTTAAACAGAACAGAGCTACAATACAGTACAGAGCAGATATGTAGAGGAATGCAGCAGTGGAACTCCCTCTCTTTCTCAATGTCCTACTCACTCCCACCCTCTCTCATGTATCTAACAATACTTTTTACATATGCTCACCACTGTGGTTGTCTGGAATGAGAAGCAGATAAGATATACTGTCACTTCTCCTCTTTCATCCCTTCCCCCATCACGACTTTACATAGGTTCATCACTCCTTCACTGTTAGGGCTCTGGTGGCCTGGTGGTTAACGCTCTCGCTTCACATGGCGAGGGCCTGGGTTCAATTCCCAGCCAGAGTAGAAACATTGGACGTGTTTCTTTCCACCTGTTGTCTATGTTCCCCATCAGTAAAATGGGTACCTGGGTGTTAGTCGACTGGTGTGGGTCGCATCCTGGGACACTGACCTAAGGAGGCCTGGTCACAGACCGGGCCGCGGGGGAGTTGACCCCCGGAACTCTCTCCAGGTAAACTCCAGGTAGGGTGAGGGTTTTAAGAGTGTATGTACTCACCAAGTTGTGGTTGCAGGGGTCGAGTCACAGCTCTTGGCCCCGCCTCTTCACTGGTCGCTACTAGGTCACTCTTCCTGTTCCATGAGCTTTAATATACCTCTTAACCCTTTCAGGGTTTCGGCCATACTAGTACGGCTTACGCACCAGGGTTTTTGACGTACTAGTATGCCTAAATTCTAGCGCCCTCAAATCTAGTGAGAGAAAGCTGGTAGGCCTACATATGAAAGAATGGGTCAATGTGGTCAGTGTGCGCAGTATAAAAAAACTCCTGCAGCACACAGTGTGTAATGAGAAAAAAAAAAAAACTTTGACCACGTTTTTGGTTTAACCCTTTGAGGGTCGACAGGCCCTCTCCGAAACTCGTTCTCAGGGTCGGCCAAATTTAAAAAAAAAAAATTATTTTCTCTTATGAAAAGATAGAGAATCTTTTCCCGATCATAAAGACACCAAAAGTTTGAAATTTGATAGAAAACTTACGGAATTATGCTCTCGCAAAGTTAGCGGTCTCGGCGATGTTTACGCATCGGCGATTTTGCCCACTTTGAGCCCCATTTTCGGCCAATTTCACTGTACTAGTCGACAAAA